CCTCGGACGATGCGCGTGACCTCACCGAGATCTCCACGGTGACTCATTTCCTCTGCCACCACCTCCGGAAGCCGGGGCCGCCTGCCCGGTTCCCAGAACGCGGCCACAGCAGACACAGACGGGCTGCTGGGAAGATAATAAGTCCCTGTCCCCCAGAATAGCTCAGCTGGACCGGAGGCCGAGCCCTGAAGCACCCTGGCTGGGCAGCCCGGCCGGGCGGCATCCCTGGGCAGCAGGGGGCCCACCTCGAGGGGCTACGGTTTACAAAGGAGGGGGTGGGCGTGGAGGCCACTAGCTGCCCTGTCCCCAGTGCTGGTGTCTGAGGTCCAGGGGTGACTCAGGGGCCAGCCTGGGATGTGGTGGCTGCAGGGTCTGGCAGACACACCCTGAATGTGCACCAGGGCACGGACCCCAAACTGCCGGGGCAGCTAGCACACGTGGTCGCGCCGAAGTGCAGACCAGAAGCAGTCCCACGCAGGACGGCTGGGGGCCACAGGGGCCACACCCGAGGGGCACCGGCCATGCCAACACCCAGGTAGTGTGTGGGGGGACGAAAGGAGAATCAGGAGCTGACAGGCCACCGAGGGTGGGGCTCCCGGCACAGGGGATGCAGGAACGAGAGGCCGCGGCATCCAGGCCACGCTGGGCGCACTGTGGGTGTAGCTGGTGGGGGACGCCCAGAGCCATGCAGCAGGGGTCAGCCCATCCGTGACTGAAGGGCAGCAGTTCCATAAAAGTGTGGGTCCCCCAACCCGAGACGGGCGCGAGTAAATAAACAGTAAAAAACAGGAGAAACCACATTCTGGGAGACAGACGGTGTCTTAACACCCAACGCGCCCAACCTCTCGGCCACCGACAGACCCGCAGACGCGGACGCTGCCCACGGGAGCTCCGCCAGCAAGCGCCTACGTCAGACTGCGCTCCCGTACGTCCCTACCAGCTGTTAACGCCACGGGTTACTCTTAGGATGAACATTTACCACCAGGAAGAAGGCGTTTCCAGGCCTCAGCTGGCCAGTGACCTGGTGTCCCACCAAAGCTGGACGTGGACCGAGGCGCTATTTCCCCAAACCGGCTGGAGGTACTTACGTCCACTTCCCCTTGGTCCACGACGTAGAAGTTATCGCCTTCGTCCCCTGAAACAACAGAGATCCAATGAGTTTCACGCAAAGGACACAGCTGCGCCTGTTTGTCTTGTAGCCTCTCTGTGCGCTGCCGCCTACACCACCCAAGGAGTCCTGGGTCTCGTTTATTCTTAAAAAGTATTTAAATGGCCCTGGCCGGTGTGGCTCAGTGGATAGAGCGTCGGTCCCGCGTTCGATTCCAGTCAAGGGCACGTACCTTGGTTGCAGGCTCCTCCCCGGCCCGGGCCCTGGTCGGGGCTCGTGCAGGAGGCAACCCAGATGTTTCTCTCTGTCTTTCCCTCTCTCCTCCACTCTCTCTAAAAATCCACGGATTAACAAGAAAGTATGTCAATGAAAGGTCTGTATCTCAGGTGTAAACACAGTGCTTTGCTGTGCACATTCCCTGTGAACTCACTTCAGTCGGCCGGCGAGCATCCGCCTCCCCACGGCCCCCAGTGCCCGTGTGGGGACCTCGCCCGCCCCCCATCCGCGTGCTCCCCGGGCCCAGGTCGTGGACTTGACAGCAAGATCACTGACACGTGATCAGGAAACTGCTGTTTCACTGGTGACTTTTCCCGAAGACACACAAGCTTTTACGTTAATGACTCAGTGAGCCCGGCCGGTGGCTCACCGTTCCCGGTCCGGGCACAGGCCCGGGTTGCGGGCTCGATGCCCAGTGTGGGGCGTGCAGGAGGCAGCCGACCCAGGATTCTCTCTCATCCTTGATGTCTCCATCTCTCTCTCCCTCTCTGAAGTCAACAAATACATATTTAAAAAATAAACGAATAAGTAAATAACTTTAAGGGAACAGCCCGATGCCCGGTCGGCTCGCTCAGAGGAGGGGGCCTACCTTGCTGTATGACGGTCTCCCCGGCGATGTGCGTGACGGGGAACATGGCGTCGAATATGTCGCTGGAAAGAAGACACAGTGAATGTGAGACCCGCGGGGGCCCGGCCGGCGTCCCTCACCTCACAGGGGCTCGGTCTTGTTGCAAGAAGATCGTCCCGTCAGGTAAAGGAGGAATTCAACCCTTCGTGCCTGCCCGGAGGCTCAGCGGGTTACAGCGTCCTCTCGATACTGTAAGGTCGCGGGTTTGAGCCCCAGTAAGGGCACATACACAAATCAACCGATGAATGCACAAGGGGGACAAGGGGAAACAAATCAATGTTTCTCTCTCTCTCCCTTCCTCTCTCTAAAATTCAATAAATCAAGTAAAATAATAAATAAATAGAATCTGCCCTGGCTCAATGGATAGAGCGCCAGCCTGCGGACTGAAGGGTCCCGGGTTCGATTCCGGTCGAGGGCACACACCTCGGGTGCAGGTTCCCTGGCCCTGGTCAGGGTGCGTGCAGGAGGCAACCAATGATGCGTCTTTCTGTCTCCCCTTCTCCCTTCCACTGTCTCTAAAAATCAATGGAAAAATGTCCTCGGGTGCGGATGAACCTAAAAAATAAATAATAAAGTCCTTCGTGACCCCGCTGTCCAGGCAGCGGCCCGGCCCGCCTGGTCCACCTCTGGCCCGGGCGGGTTTGCCGTTCGGGTTTTCACAGAAATGGGGTCACCCTGCAAACGCCGCTTTGGACTCCAACTTAGAAAGCGAGAGGAGCAACAGGCTGCCCACCCTCGCGCCGGCGGGATCCCGCGAGAACCCGGCCCTTGCCCGTCGCAGGCGCCCTGAGCAGCTGGATCGGAAACGGGATCCGATGCCGAGCCTCTGCGTTAGACACCAGACCCCGACCTGCTGCTCGGCGAGCCACACCCAGCGAGGCCACGCCCAGGGCTGTGCCACGGCAGCTGCCACGTAATTTCCTAAATCTCGTTGTGGAGTGGACGGAGGCAGAAATGCCCCCCAGCCGGCCGACGGGAGGTGGGCAGGGCGCGGCATGCTTGGCGAACCCTTCACCTCCAGGACCCCAGCCAGAACACAGTCAGAGGTCAGCGTCCGCACCCCAAATGCAATGACCGCCCTCGAGGCTGCGCATGCGCGCCGGCTAATTAAGGGGGCGCCTGAGAAGCTGTGTGATGTCAGGCTGAGCTGCAGGAAGCAAACCAAATGCAGAACCAACAGCCTGCACCTCCTGCTTCCAGGCCCCAGAAAACGTAGGTAAGTCCCACAGAATAGCAGCATTCTTCTACTTCCGACGGTCTCTCTGCCCAAGGAGGCGGCAGGGGCTCTGGGGAGGTTTGTGGGGGCCCCTCCCAGGCCCCCTCACCGGCCGCCCAGCCCGGCCTCTGTCCCCTGCCGGGCCAGGATTCTCAGCCTGCAGTCTGGCCACATTTTACAACTGAATTTCTTCAGAACCATCACATCGGGGCTCTTAACACAAGCAGGTCTTTAAGAAATGCTTTTGCAATTCCAGCTTCATATGTGGAAAAAAAGAAAAAGAAAAAAAAAAACTTGAACTCATTACGGTAACATTTCCCAGGAGCCGGGCCCTGCGCACCGCCACCCCCCGGGCTGAGGCCCGCGCACGGCGCTGTCTCTGCTTCGGGCCACAGCCTGAGCACGTGCCCACTCTCTTCCCAGGCACGACTCGGGAGCAGGCTGGCAAACGTGCACTTTTCCCTTCAAAATGAGCCTGCCCAGCCCGGCCGGTGCGGCTCAGGTGCTGAGCGTTGACCTAGGAACCAGGAGGTCACGGTTCGATTCCTGGGCAGGCCACATGCCCGGGTCGTGGGCTCGATCTCCAGTGTGGGGTGTGCAGGAGGCAGCCGATCAATCCATGATTCTCTCTCATCACTGATGTTTCTCTCTCTCTCCCTCTCCCTTCCTCTCTGAAATCAATAAAAAAATTAAAAGAAACGCACAAAAATGGACGTGCCCTTGGACTTGCAGGGTTTACACTTTCATTCTTAGCATTTTCACCAAAGAAACAGTTTAAACGTGCGGGTGGGGCAAACACGGGTTTACAGTTGTGAGTACACAAAACAGAGGCTATTCCTGTGTCACCGCTTATTACTTGTTGTGTTGTTTCCCGTGCCCTTGCCCGCCCTGTGGATAAGACGTAGTCATGGAAACGTGAGTGTCTGCAGGGTAAGGACACACTTATAAATAACGCAAAGAAGCCCCAAGGGCGCTGAGAAGAGGAACCCAATGAAAAGGAAAACAATGCATCAGAACTCGCAGGATGCAGCAAAAGCCGGACTCAGAGGGAAATTCATAGCCTTGAGTGCCTACAGTAGAAAAGGAAGAAGCTCTAAAACCGAACACCTGAACTCCCACCTTAGGAAACTACAAAGATGAGCAAATTAAATCCAAATTAAGCGGAAGAAAATAAAAAATAAACGTTACAACTAGAAATCAGTGGAATTTAAAATAGGACATTAACGGAGAAAGTCCATGAAACCAAAGCTAGCTCTTTAAAAAGATTTTTAAAAATCCTAGAAACATCTAGCCAGGCTACCCCCCCCCACACACACACACAAAAAGACACAAATCACTAATGTCAGAAATGGACGGGGACATCACCACGGATCCCGTGGACATTAAAGAATAAACGATGAAAGGGACCAGCACACGCAGTAACCCATATTGGGGGGGGGGGTGACCATCTCACTGGCTGGGGTGCCCCCAGGACGACCCTACCAGCCACCATCCTAGGAGGAAACCAACTCCCTGCGAAGGGGGCAGGGGCTCCAGGAGCCGCTCAACCAGGAGCCCATCCCCCGCACGCCCACCTGGAGGCACCACGGGGGGCGGGGAGCGGCCAGCGGGGGCGGAGCTGGGCTCTGCGTCAGCCCAGGGAGGGGACAGGGACCCAGGCAAACGCAGTCCCCGACTCAAGTCAACAGCAAAACGGGTGGACACCAAACAGGGTGTCACTCATTCACTCAACAAACACAGAGAGGGCGACCGGGGCCAGCCTCCTCGGCCACACACACCGCAGGGCGACCGACGCCCCTCCCTGGACCGCCGTCCGCAGTCACGCGGCTTCCTTGGCCGGGCGGGCGGTCAGGAGGCCCCAGAAGCGGCCGATGGTTTTCACAGCCGGTCGAGGATGGGCACCAGAGGCCCCTGCCTCCCACACTGATCGGCTCGCTCGGAGCTGGAAACCTCATCACAGCCTCTGCTCTGAGGGCTCCGGACCCGCACGTGGGTGGCCCCCAACTGGGGTTCAGCAGAGGTCGGGGCGGGGGCAGGGCGCCCCAAGGCCTCTCCCCCGAGACTCTCCAAAGATCCCGCCCCCGGAGGGAGAGGGGGACACGCTGCCTGCAGTCACACAGCTGCCAGGGGGCATTTCAGCAGCAAAGCCAGGGCCGTGCTGGGCCTGAGGAGGCCCGCCCACTGCAGAGCCCCCTGCGGCTCAGGCCTGGGTCAGCCTGGCCTGGACATGGTGGCCGGCACATCCACTCCCTGGGCTTCGCTTCCTCAGGTACAACAGGGGCCTGGCCTGGCCAGCACAGGGGTTTGCAGAGCCCCACGTCTCATCCATCTCTCCCACCTGAACAACCCTGTCCTCACCTCCTCCAAGAAGCCCCCCGGGATTCCTCCCCCGATCACCACCAATCAGGGCTCCTTGGTCCCCACACTCGCTGTAGGAAGCTGGAGTCTGCCCCCTGGCCCCCCCCCCGAGTCTGGACCCCGAGGGGGACCGTTCTGCAGGTGACCAGTGAGAAGCCCAGATGGATGAGGCGTCTGGGGAACTCCTCCGACCAGTCGCTAAGCCACCCAGTCACCACAGGGCAGGCGTGACCCCGGGACCAGGCCCTCCGAGCAGGCCACGCCCGGTGTCCGAGATGGAGGACGGGAGATCCTGGAGCCGCTCCAGCCCTGGCTGCCGGCCTCCCCCTCCCTCCCCCTCCCGTCACCTCCCGGGGTGGAATGTTTGTGGGTAACGGCACCTTGCTTATTTTAAACGCAGCGGCCCACGGAGCGATCATGAGATCCGGGCAGCTGGTGCGCCCAGCCTCCGGCCCCTGCAGCACGTGGGCGGGAGGCGCGGAGAGCCCTCCGGGCTCCTGGACGCCTGTGCTCTTCCCGCGGCTGTGGAACCGATCAGAGGTTCCCAGCTGTTCCAAAGGGCCGGGCACGGGCCTGACCATGGGGCGGGGGCAGGTGCACGTGCAGGACCCCGTCAGTGGTGGGGGCGGGGGACACAGATGCGAGAGCCCCCAGGTGCGTGAGCCGCTTGGTCAGCTTCTGGGGGGGACCCAGGTGGTGACCTCCCTGTGGAGCCGAGAAAGCAAACCGGGGTGGGGGCTCCGTGACCTGCGGGGGGTCCGGCAGGGACGTGTCCGGTGGGCGGACGTGTGAGGTGCGTGGACCCCCAGAGGGTGGTCTCTATGAGTCGTGGCCGTGGCTCCCCCACAGGGAGAGGGACTCGGGGCACTTGGTCTTGTTATTCATCTGCCTGGCCTTTATCCTGAGAGAAAAGGCTGCCCGGAGAGGGCTGCTCCTCCCGCCCTCACTGCCACCACTGCATGCTGAAGGCACCGTGGGACACGCCCAGGCCACCCAGCCACGCCCACGCCCAGGCCACCCCAGGCCACACCCATGCCCATGCCCCAGGCCACCCCAGGCCACGCTGGCGCAGGAGGTGCCCAAGGGGCTGAGGAGACAGATGGGCAAGGACCAGGCACACAGCCACCCAACAGGCCTCATCCCAGGGCTGGGCCACGGAGGCTGCGTGCGGACACGGCCTGTGCGTGGATGTCAGGGTGCGGGCACACCTGAGCCCGACTCCCACAGTCCACTCCCGCCAGGCCCAGGCCCAGCCGCGCGGGCCGCCCCAGGACACGATCGCAGGCCTGGAGCCTGGGCTGAGAGGCGTTTCCGCCCCAGGACCCGGGGCCTCGATCCCGGAACAGCTTCACAGGACCCTCCCCAGTGATGGCAGCCGGCGGGGCGGGGACAGGGACAGACCCTCGGGCTCTGGAGCTCGGCTCAGGGAGGCGGGAGGCTCGCGGCTGCAGGGCCAGGATGAGGTCGGAGCGCAGCCCGTCCCGCACCCGCAGGCCAGGCTGAGCCTCCGTGTCCTCTGTGCAGAGGCTCCTAAGAGCAAGGTCGCCGCCACGACCCCGTGCGCCCTGCGCCCCTGGGGCCCTCCTCGCCCAAAGCCCCGCGCCTCCCCAGGGGGGTGCAGGCCTCCTGTCCTCCTCCCCAGCCCTGCTGGCCTGTCTCTCCCTCCCCACCCAGCCGGTCGGTCACTAGTCCCAGCCACTCGCTCCCTCTCTCCAACGGCTCCAACGGCTCCATCGGCAGGGGCACAGTGACACCAGGTGGCCGCACCTCCCAGCCTGGGACGCAGCCTCTCATCACAGAGCTCCCTGAGCCGCTGTGGGCGGCAAATCCCAGCTTTCCCTCCACAGCCACGGGCCTGGGCAGTCCCCTCGTTGCTCTGGACTCAGCTTCCTCGTCTGTAACACCAGCCTCCATGGTTGCCGTGAGGTTAAACGGTGAATCGTGAAGGTCCCAGCGATCGGCCTGCTCCCGAGGGCCCCCTGCCTTCCCGGAGGACAAGGCCCAGGGGACGCGTACCCCAGTCCTGCACCTGGCCCTGAAGTCTCCTTAGGAACCCCTGCGTCCCCCAACCTGGCACGCTGCAATTTAAACGCCACCCTGTGCCCAGATAACTGGGGGGCGAGCGCTTGGCCGGGTAAAGCTGCCCCGGCCTGGCCCCGGCAGCGTTGGGCTCCTGCCGTGAACACCCCACACAATTAAAAACCAGCTTGGAATCTCCCGCAGGCCATGGCTGCACAGAACGCGCTTGGTGACCAGGAGGCCATCCCCCAGAGGGGCTTGGGGCACACGCACCGGGCGGGGGAGGGGCCGCCCCCAGGCCCAGCCACTGCCTCCCGTGCAGGGGGCACCCCGCCCACCAGACACCCCCGGTGGCTCCCACAAGCACAGCCACCTGCGAGGACGGCCTGGAAAAGAATGAAACACGAGACAGACCTGCCCGGAGACCAGACACCTGTCTGCCAGGTCTGCCTCCGCACCAGGTGAAGGGAGACCTCCCAGCTCATGGCCTGGGAGCCGCGGTGGGACACGGGCCAGTTCTATATCAAACGGGTCCATAAATCCAGTGCGGGTTTTTAAACAGAAAATGACCTAAAATCCACATGCAAAGGCCCCTAACGGCCAAGCCATTGTTGTTGTTAATCCTCACCCAAGGATATTTTCCCATGATTTTGAGAGAGTGGAAGGGAGGGGGAGAGACAGAGAAACATCGATGTTGGAGAGACACGTTGATTGGTTGCCTCCCGCATGTGCCTAACCAGGGCCAGGGAGGAGCCTGAAACTGAGGTACATGCCCTTGACCAGAATCGAACCCGGGACCCTTCAGTCTAAAGGCCAATGCTCTATCCACTGAGCCGAAATGGCTAGGGCAAGCCAAGGCCATTTTTAAAAAATACATTTTTATTGATTCTTTTTTTTTTTAGAGAGGAAAGGAGAGGGAGAGAGAAAGAGAAACATCGATATGAGAGTGGAACATTGGTTGGCTGCCTCCTGCACATCCCCCACCGGGGATCAACCCCGAAACCATTTGGTGCATGGGATGATGCCCAACCACCGAGCCACACTGGCCAGGGCACCAGACAATCTTTAAATAGAACCGAGTAAGGGGGATTACACATCTGGTTTCAAAACTCACAGTAAAGCCACAGTCATCACTCGAGACAGTGCGGTTCTGAGCAATGCCGGGCGCACGGGGCCATGGACCAGCCCCAGGGACCCAGGGACAAACGGCGCTGACCTTCAACCAGGGCCGAGGCCAGGCGCTGGGGGAGAACTATCTTTCCCACAAATGGTGATGGGACAGCTGGACGTACCCCGTGAAAAGCGTGAACGTAGATCCCTACCTCACACCGTAGAGCCCTACCTCACACCATACACCAAGCATGTCAAATTCGCGGCCGGCGGGCCACAAAATAAACGAAGCATGCGGCCCACCAGCTGCGAGTTTGACATGCTTGCCGTATACACACAATGACTCGCAGTGATCACAGACCCCAATGGAGAAGCCAGAACTACAAAATTATTAAAAGAAATATAGGGGAATGCCTTCATTCACCGGAGTTAGGCAGAGCTCGTAGATGTAGCAACAGAGGCACCGTACATAAAGAATCGATAAGTTGGACTTCATCTAACTTTAAAACGTTGGTCCTTTGAAAGACACCATTAAGAAAACGAAAAGCTCAAATACAGACTGGGGGCGGGGGGGAATCTGATAAACACCCGATATACAGAGCTCTCCAACTCCACAGGCAGACGACCGACACTCCAGACCTATTGGGACGGACGTTCTGCGGGAGAAGCTGTACAAGTGGCCACAGCACAGGGGAGACGCGGGTCAGTGTCAGGAGGGAAACGCAGGTCAAACCACACCCGTGACGGTGACCAGACTCAGAAGACAGTGCTGACGGGGCAAGGACGAGAGAAAGGGGACCCACACCACCTTCAGGATGGGAGACTGGGGACCCCACACAGCCCCTTCAGGGCATGGAGATTGGGGACCCCACACACACCCCTCGGGGTGCAGAGACTGGGGACCCCACAGCCCGCTCGGGATGCAGAGACCACACTGCAGACGGGTGGGTGGGTGGTGCGGACACTTTGGACAACAGGTGGTTTCTTTGGAAGTTAGACGTGAGGTCAGCACACGACCCAGAAATCCCACCGCTAGGCCCCCCCATGGGAGCAGACACCGCGTCCCCCAGAGAAGGCACAGTGTGTGTGCGCACGTTCACTACAGACCCC